CTTGTTCTGCAGACGTTTCATTGCCCTGCTGGGTAACATCATCAGTGCAGCATCCAATGAAGCGCCGTTGCGTTTTCCCGCCTGTTATTTAAACTCTGGTGTCCGTTGAGCTAGATTACCTCACTTCCAGTTTTCCTTCACAATGGAGTGTATATGGGGTCGAGCTCTATGTGTTTGTTGATGGCTTTCTTCGTGGAGCACCAGGCTTCTAGGAATTCCCGTTCTTGTTTCTGCTTTGCTTGTCCCAGGATCTTGGTGTTGTCCCAATCGAATTGGTGGTTCTTCTTATCCATGTGGATAGATATGAGTGAGTATTGGTTGTGTCTTTTTGCAGACAATTGATGCTCGTGTACCCTTGGTGTTAATTTCCTGCCTGTTTGTCCGATGTAGTGTTTGTCACAGTCTCTGCAGGGAATCTTGTATATGACATTGGTCCTGTCCATAGTGGGTAGTGGGTCTTTGGTTCGGGTGAGCAGTTGTCGTAGGGTTGATGTGGGTTTGTGTGCTACTCTGATGCCCAGTGGTTGTAGGAGTCTTGTGGTCAGTCCAGATGTGTTCCTGATATAAGGTAGCGTGATGAGTGTGTCGGGGTGTGTAGTGTCTTCCTGGTGTCATTGGTGTAATAGGCATCTTCTGACCCAGTTTTTCGGGTATCCATTGTTTTTGAATATCTGGAACAGGTATTCTTCTTCTTCTTGACGTAGTTCTGTGCTGCTGCAGTGTGTTGTTGCCCGTTTAAATAATGTTCTCAATCAACTACGTTTGTGTGTTAGGGTGGTTGTTGTCGAAATTCAGTACTTGATCAGCGTGCGTCTTTCTTGTGTACCTTTGTTAGGGCAACTCTGGACTGCCAATACTCGATCAGAGTATGGCCGCGGCTCCAAGATGGATGACATACGCTTGGGATGCCAGTCTTTTCGATCATATCCAGGTCATGATGAGGTCTTCTGTTTAATGAAAGTGGTAGAATTGGGCTAGCTTTGGATAAAAGAGTCACCATAGGTGCATGGTAAGTAGTTAATGAGGTGAATTTGAGACGACAGCACAAGAAAAGGCCACACAGAACGAACCCCTCCATGAAAATCAATGAAAATAGCACTTTGCCAAAATGTGATAAGAGTCACCTCAACTAAACCAAAGAATTGAACCATAGAATGAGATTATCACCAAGAAAGCACTGTCAGATATAAAATGACAATTGCCACAACACATCATAAATAATTAGTGCTGATCAAAAATTAGCAGTAAAATGACAGAGATAAAAATTCACCTAGTCATCTGCTATATTGTTCATACCACTGCACCCTGTCAATAGCTTAATTAATTTCAGTGCTTTCATTTTTTGCTGGCCCCATATTTCATTTCATCCACGCAAGATATGTTATACACTTGCAGAACCATCTGTTCACCATCACAATATTTGATGTAGTCACAGATTCAACAATATAGATTATTTACTTTACCTGACTTGGCTGCAACTTCTATATGACAATAGTGGCCTTTCGGAATAAACTAGCTGGAGGGCAAAAGCGTCTTTTGATATATTTTGGTTTACTTTCTTGCTATTAGAATGTGTTCTCTTTCTGCAGTGTGATGCTGCAAATGTATTTGCTCAAGTAGTTGTCTTCAGAAATAGATCAAAATATTTAACATTTTAATCTTTGACCTCTCGATTGTTAACCGCTTGCCAAGAATGTTGCATGACAAATTACACCTATGTTTTCTTCTTTTCCATTGTGAGATACCCAAGGGCCTGCAGCTGCACATTTATCTTTTTATTGTAAGGAACAAACAAAAACTTAAAATCATAACGTTTTTAGTGGATTCATTCACCCTTTATTTTTCAGTTCCCTGTGCAGCACATATTCAGAAACTGAAGCATGAAAAACAAAAAGCAGCTAGAATGACCAACTCCTCCATTTTGTTTTAATTAATTGCTGGCCTGTAGATATGACTGCCAGGCTGGCATTTGTTGCCCATTGCTGTTTGCCCAGAACCTTGTAAAATAATATCAGTAGCAATTTTCTTACAGCCTTGTGGCTTACTGTATCAAACATTTGTTGCCTAACCAGAATTGCTTTGTGGTCTATTGCAACTGAGTAGCCACTTCTGAAAGCAGATAAGAGTCACTACATTTAAAGTTTTAGCAAAGATTAGTAGCTCAGGTTGTGGGTGAGGTTGTTGACTTGCTCACCGAGCTTGCTTGTTTCTGTTCAGAAGTTTTGTCACCATGCTAGGTAACATCACCAGAGGCCTCACTGATGATGTTACCTAGCATGGTGACAAAACGTCTGAACAAAAACAATCCAGCTTGGCGAGCTAGTCAACAACCTCGAGAGTCACTACATTGATGTAGGATTGTGATATTTAGGCCAGACCTGCTGAAGATAGTGGGTTTCCTTCACCGAAAGAAATCTGTAAACCAGTGAGTTTTAATTATAGGCTTGCAAGCTTTAAATAGCACCCTTTTCGGTAGCACTGCTGCCTCATTGCACTAGGACCCGGATTCGATTCTAACCTAGGGCGACTGTGTGGAATTTACACATTCTCCCCATGTCTGTGCGGGTTTCCTCCAGGTGCTCTGGTTTCCTCCCACAGTCCAAAGTTGTTCAGGGTTAAGTGAATTGGCCATGCTAAATTTCCCATAGTGTCCAGTGATGTGTCGGTTAAGTGGATTAGCCATAGGATATGCAGAATTACAGGGATAGGGTTGGGGGGAGGTTTGGATGGAATGCTCTTCAGAGGGTCAGTGTGGACACGAAGGGCCTGCTTTCACACTGTAGGGATTTTATGATTCTAAAGGGAAGGGGCAGAGAGGAAGGAGGGTGTCAGAAAATATTATTTTCAGAATATTCAGTTGACACAGAGAAAAAATGTCCAGTCAATATGAACTCCTCTTCTTCACAGAACTATGATTTTTTTAATGTATAGTTCATATGTGTGGAAACACCATCATAGGCATAATTTATTTTCAGTTATACAATATATCACTTTATGCTGATGCATACTGAGTCAGTTCCCGTTAATAATTTATTGTAGTGTTTGTCTGAATTTCTATTATCCGTGTACTGGGACCTACAATGTTCAATTTGAAAAGGATGGGGGGTGGGTGCAAAAATGTTCTGTTACATTGATCCTCTCTCCCACATTTGCCCTGCTTAAACTTATTAAAAATGCCAAAAAGCAGACATGAACTATTAGAGCAGCATGTTATTGGAGCTTTACGTGCTTGTTAACTGTTAGCTTTAATCAGTATTCACTTGATTTTCTGGAGAGAAATGACAACCATTTTATAGAAGACTCACATCTGTATTCACAATAGATTTTAATGGTATTGATGCAACAATGAAATTACTTGTATTCTATACCACAATAAGACTTCTCAAAGAAATAGAACGCAATGTTAATGCATCAAATAAAAGTTTCTGTTCATAAATGAGTTCATTTAGGCTATCCATAATATGTTTTTCTTCCCCAGTCCCTAACCTAATCAGATACCTGCATAATCATGATACTGAGTTATCTTACAACAGGAAAGCAAGTACATGAAGTGGTGGTTTCATCTAATCAATGATCTTTTCCTGCACAAAATCCAATTTGGCCTTCTGTATAACTCATGCATCTACACAATTCATATGCTAATTGGTTTACTCTTATTTGCATGATGCATATTATCAGTGTTTAAGATGTCATTATTGTTACCAAATGAAAGCAAATAAGATTATCAATTTAGCTGTGACTTCACCTGGAATTCATATTGGTGTGCAACTGAACTACATAAAATGTTCAGCACAGAAACAGGCCATTTGGACCAGCTGGGCCATAGGAACATAGGAACAGGAGCAGGTCAGTCAACCCCTCAAGCCTGTTTCACCATTCAATGAGATCATGGCTGATCTGTGGCCTCCCTCCTTTGGCCCATATCCCTCAATACCTTTGCTTAACAAAAATTTATCTACCTCAAATTCAAAATTAACAGCTGATTTAGCATCAACTGCAATTTATGGAAGAGAGTTCTAAACCTCTACCATCTTGTGTATGTAGAAGTGCTTCATAACATCCTTCTTGAATGGTCCGCCTCTAATTTTTGGACTATGCCCCAAAAGCGTTCACCCACCACTCTTCATCTAATCCTATCAACACACCTTCTATTCAATTTCGTTTGTGATTATCTAGCTTTTCCTTAAATTTATCTATGCTATGAGCTCTAAATGACAGGAAATTAAGCCCTTGTGGGTTTCTGTCCACAAAACTAAAACATGTAAGGCACATTAATTTGTATTTTTATTTTAGGTCAGATTTTGTATAATAGTTAGGTACCAACTCCACTCCAATGTTAACTTGGCTCAATGTAAGACCTATTTAGCCTATTAGACATAAGGTTGAAGGCTCAAGCCTGTTCCAGGACTCCAGGACATAATTCAGGCTGATGCAACACTGCAATACTGAAGCAGTCCAGCAGTGTTGGAAGTATTGTTTTTTAAAATAATACTTTAAACTGTATCCCTAGTTAACACATAATTCTCTTTCATTCCTTTGTCGTTTATGGACCATTCATAAGGCCAGCATTTATTGTCCATCTCTAATATAAATGCAAGCTTTTTCTTTCTAGACTTATTTAAGGAACAGGGTGATGAATTGACATTTTGGAAAGGTCAGATGATCTCCCATCAAGTCATTTTATCAATGTATCAAGGCAGTTCTCCTCATGAAGAAATAGGAAAGTAAAAATACTTGAATGGAGGTGGAGAGGGGAAAGAGATCGGGAACTCGATTCCACACCATCATTTATACTTTTCATTTTCAAACGCTTTCAAATACCGTTCAGAACCATTCACCTTCTACCCTCACAGCAATGGAAAGAAATTACTTGGATCAATATAGGACACCCAATTAAATGAAAGGCTGTTGTGTCACAGATTCCTTTTTTTTGCTTTTATAGGTCATATCATTAATTACTTCATGCAGTACAAGAAGGTAAATACCATCATTGTACTTACCAATATCCAAAATAGTTGCTGAATTCTTGGCAAAGCATGTGAGCAAGTTCTCGCTTTCCACAGGCCTGGGGCCCCACCAGAACCAGCATGGGATATGGAATATCAAAGTTAGGCAAGGTGCTGCAGAGAAAAGCAAGTACCTGTGAAAAGGTCTCAAAAAATTCCTGTCAGAAGTTTTGAAACAAGTGAAGAAGCTAGTGCTTAAGAGAATCAACCATTTTATCTTTTGAAAGAAAAATTATATCAACACCTCTTAGGTGGGTGCAAAAGATCCCAAGGCACTATTTTGAAGAAAAGCAGGGGAGTTTTCTCATGTTAAGCTAATCTTTATCACTCAATAAATATCATTAAAACAGTTTATCAGATTTAAAATAACTGTGGATGCTGGAAATCATAGATCATAGAATCATCATAGAATCCCTACAGTGTGGAAACAGGCCCTTTGGCCCAACAAGTCCACACCAATCCTTGGAGCATCCCACCCAGACCCATCCCCCTATAACCCACCTAATCCACATATCCCTGAACACTACAGGCAATTTAGCATGGCCAATCCACCTAGCCTGCACATCTTTGGACTGTGGGAGGAAACCGGAGTACCCGGAGGAAACCCACGCAAACATGGGGAGAATGTGCAAACTCCACACAGACAGTCGCCCGAGGGTGAAATCGAACCCGGGTCCCTAGTGCTGTGGGGCTGCAGTGCTAACCACTGAGCTACTGTGCCGCCCTGAAATCTGAAACAAAAATAGAAATTGCTGGAAAATCTCAGCAGATCTGGCAACACCTGTGGGGAGAAATCAGACTTAACGTTTCAGGTCCAGTTCTGAGGAAGGGTCACTGGACCCAAAACATTAACTCTGATTTCTCTCCACAGATGCTGCTAGATCTGCTGAGATTTTCTAGCAATTTCTGCTTTCATTATTGGTAGGATCTTGCTGAGTGAAAGATGTTTGCTGCATTTTGTGCGTAACACAGTAGCTGCATTTCAAAACTATTTAATTAATGATAAATCAATTTGGGATGTCCTGAAATTATGAAAGATGCCATATAAATCTAAGTTTATTTCTTACTTTCTTAACAGGCAAGCACATTGCTGGAATTTGCAACATTTCTTTGCAATTCATGTTTTCTTTTAATTTGTTCATCTAACTGTGTCTTGTCTGACTGAAAATGTTTATTTAAGACACTTTTCTGTTAGGTTCAATGGCATGCGAAGGCTACCAACTGCCAGTACTGCCTCACTGGTGACAAACCCAACTAAAATATGCTGCTAGTATCTGCTTTGTTTTTACTTGTTATCCTGCTTGTTAGTCTGAGACAACCAAGCAAATTTATACATTGCATATATTCATTCATGGTCATTGCTGGCTCGGTCAATATTTATCGCCCATCCCTAACTGCCCTGGTAAAAGTGGTGATGAACAGTCTTCTTGAACTGCTGTAGTCCATATTTCTTTAAAAATGTTTTAAATTTATTTATTCAAGGAATGTAGGCTTCTCTGGGTGCGTGAGCATTTATTGCTTATTCTTAAGAGGAGGATGTGATGAGCTGCATTTTTGAACAACTGCAGTCCACTTGGTGTCAGTACACCCACAATGCTGGGGAGGCATTCCATAATTTTCATCGAGTGATGGTGAAGCATCTACAAGGCACAAGTCAGTGTGATGGAATACTCCTCACTTGCCTGGATGAGTGCAGCTCCAGCAACACTCAAGCAGCTTGACACCATCCAGGACTAAGCAACCCATTTGATTGGCACTACATCCATAAACATTTACTGTCCCCACCACCTACGTTCAGTAGCAGCAGTGTGTACTATCTACGAGATGCACTGCAGAAATTCACCAAAGCCCCATAGACAATACCTTCAAAACCCTCAATCACTCACCACCCTGACTTAGAAATATATTGCCACTCCTTCAATGTCATTAGATCAAAATCCTGGAATTCCTTCCCCAATTGCAATGTGAATCTACGTAAGCATATGGAATGCAGCAATTCAAGAAGGCAGCTCACCAGGCACCTTAAAATGGACGTGCTCTCAAAAGATTGCATAAGAGTCCATGACAAATATTCCCCAGAGCTGCTGGGGCTATCAGACTCTACAGGGAATGAATTTAGCAGAGGTTGTGGTTATTTTATAACAACTTAGCAGCACAGGGAGCAAGCTCTGAAAATCCTTTGACCTTGCACCAGGAGATTGCCTCTGGATTGGCTCTTGCAATACCAAGCAAGTTCCATATGTGTATGAAAATAGCCCATAAGTGGGACTTTAATTGCCTGAATGGCTGCCTGTCTCCATGGCAACACATCCTGGAAAATACATCCAGAGGCAGGACAGAATTGGATAGCTGTCCCAATGGGAATTTTTGCTATTTTCCTGGCTTCACTCTACCCTCACTTCAACACTCACTGACAACCTCATACACCACCAGCTTCCAAGGGTCCAGGATGATTCTGGCCTTAAGCTGCTTTCGGCGAATCAGGTTCAATAGTTCAGTCATGTTTATTGCATATAGTATGTTTATTTTATTCTTTTATTCACTCATGGGACATGGGTGTCATTTGCTGGGTTGGCATTTATTGCCCATCCATAGTTGCCCTTAAGAAGGTGGCAGTGAACTTTCTTCTTCAACCACTGCAGTCCATGTGGAACAGGTAGACCCATAATGTCATTGGGGGGCAAATTACAGTATTTTGAGTGAATGACTCTGATTGAATGACTACATATTTCTAGGTTTAGAGGGGAACTTGCAAGTACTGTTGTTCTCATATGTCTGCTGGCCTTGTCCTTCTAGATGGAAGTGGTCATGGGCTTGGATGATTTGTCTAAAGATCTGTGGTGAATTTCAGCCTTTTTGGTGAATAGTGTCAAAGAGAAAGAGAGAAAGTGACACAGCAGACATTGGTAAGCTTCTTCATAGCACTCTCCGAATTTGTTAACTCACATATCAAAGATGAAAAGTCACAGAACCTACTCCTGTCATACAACTCAAATCTGACTGTGTGGAAGTTACTATTCTGTTCTTCTATTTCTCCAAGTTTCTACAGTACTGTACATTTTGTATTAACATGACAGGTTCAGAGTCATTCAAACTATACTTTCCTTGAAACTGGGTGATCAAGTGCTTCAAGAGCTTTTTCTTAATTTCTAAAATGTGAATCCACATTATGAGGTTGAAATTTTACTGTCTTGCACATGGTAATGAGGTAAACATTGAAAATTTTAATTCCTTTTGCTAATAGGCAGAAGGAAGATGATGAGTTTCATGCATTATACAGGTATAAAGCTAAGCTATTAAATAACAAGCATAGCCTGGGAAATGCACTGGAAACTTTCTAGAAGCTCAGCATTGAGAGATTTGGGAAAAATATTGATTGCTGTAATTAAGTTTTTTTTAAAATGAATGTTTAAGCAAAATTTGGATTTTTCTGCTGGCACATTTATTTAATTGCCTGATACAGCATTGTTATCTTGAGTATCTCAAGTAAATATGCTGTGGGACCACAGAAATAGGTCAATTACCTATGCTGAGAGACCCAAGCTGGTTTAAAGCAAAGTTAATTATCTGTTATTTCCCAGATTCAGTTTTAAACATATATTCATGAAGAGCAGCAGTTCATGGCAAAATTATATAATTTTGGAAAATTAAAGAGATGCAGCCATTTAAGAGATGAGGATCTTGCAACATAAGCACTGTTCAAAGATGTTGCTTGCAAATGGCAGCGATACATTAGTCACTCTTTTGTCACTGTCAACCTGAAAATCTGTTGCTATCAACCAGAAGCTTTGTCATTGTCACCTGAACCTGCAGCCTATCAGCAATGCCAATTAGCCAGCACCCCACATCGTTCTGGAAGGTCGATGTTTCGGTTCGGGACCCAAAAAGTCGACTTTCCTGCTCCTCTGATGCTACCTGACCTGCTGTGTTCCTCCAGCTCCACACTGTGTTGATTCTGACTCCAGCATCTGCAGTTCTTGCTAGGCTTATATTGTTCTCCTCAATCTCTGTAAGCCAAGCACAGTTGTACACATCCCAGAGGATTCAGTTATTGAGCTAAACAACAGGTGAGTCACAGAGTACAGTGATAAGGAGAAGGGAGGGGCACCAAATGAGAAGCACTATCAAGGAGCTCTTGTATTTGGGTAAATGTTGCCATGTGGAGATATTAGATCAGGGGAAGTGATGGCCTAGTGGTATTATGGCTGGACTGTTAATCCAGAGACCCAGGTAATGTTCTGGGGACCCAGGTCTGAATCCCACCATGGCAGATGGTGGAATTTGAATCCAATAAAAATCTGGAATTAAGAATCTAATGATGACCATGAATCCATTGTCGATTGTCAAAAAAGCCATTTGGTTCACTAATGTCTTTTAGAGATGAAACTGCCATCCTTACTCAGTCCAGTCTACATGTGACTCCAGAGCTATAGCAATATGGTCGACTCTCAACTGCCCTCTAGGCAGCATTAAATGCTGGCCTAGCCAGCGACACCCTCATCCTGTGAGTGAATAAAAAAAAATTACCATCTTTCTGATATTAGGTAATTGGAAGGTGATGAGATCACTTGTGTAGCTGATGGACACATCAAACAATTGTTTCTTACACATGTAGATCAGCACATAGCTGTTATGAACAACAACTGGGATGGACAGTGACGGAGGGGTTGTGCCAGAGAGAGACAGAGAGAGACAGACCGAAAAAGAGAGAGAGAGTTGCCTGTTCATTGAAGAATTTTCTGCAGCAGACGGCAATATCTCAGCAACTGGTTTTCTGCTGACTTGAAGGCTGGTCAACCTAATGCAATTGCAAGATTCATGAAACAGGGCCAGTCTGTTGCTATGGTTGTTAACATTGTACTGGATGGGGTCAATACAGCTAGGGATAGCACCAATAGCCACCCAATTTTGCAATTACCCACATTAGTCAAAAAATGCGCCAGTTTCTTAAAAGTACAAGTTGACAGTGGAATTCAAACAAACTCACCATTGAAGCCTTAAGTATTTTTTCATATTGAGCCTCAACACAATTTTTTCTTACACAGAGGGTAGTTTGTGTGTGGAATGAAATTCCTGAGGAATTAGTGGATGTGGGCACAGTTACAATGTTTAAA